GCCGGCTGGAGCCGGCGGACGGCAGCAAATTGCGCTGCGCGTTCCATGAGCTCGCCGAGGAGTCGGGGCTGCTGCTCGCGGTGCCTCTTGATGGGTGCGCGAAGCTGGGCGTGGACGCCTATTCCACGGGGCGCGGGCGGCGCGGCGGCCGTGGTGCGCTCGAGGAGGTGCGCTGACACCGCCATCGGGTGGCCGCTGGCGACGATGGCCGTTGGGGCCCTCGCGAGGCGCGGACTCGCGAATTGCGCTTCATGGCGAGTCGCGAGCTGCGGGCGGCCACAGTGAAAAGGCAGGTCCTTGTTGTACGCCGAGGCGGCGCTGAAGCTGGCGAAGCCGAAGGAGCTCTAGCTGCAGCCGAAGCATCGGTCGCCGGCTGACGAGGCGACGGAGCCCGAGGCCAGGGCGAGGCCGTAGCGGACGGCGCCCCGCGGCGCCGCGGGCCTGGAGGCGCCTCCCGCGGCGCCGCTGCTGCCGCCGCCGCCGCCGCCGCCCGTGGCCGCGCCCGCCCCGCCTCCTGCCCCGGCGCCGGAGCCGCCGGCGCCCGCGCCCCCGCCGGCGGCGCCGCCAGAGCCAGCGGCGCCATCGGGATCGCTAGAGGCCGCTGCCGCCGTGGCATGGCGGAGACTCTCCGAGCCTGGCGGGGGAGGCGGACGAGGCGCGGCCGGCGGGCCGCGCCCGGCGTCGTCGCAAGCGCCCGCCCGGCCGCAAGGGCGGAGCGGGTGCCGGGGCCCGCCGCAAGGAGTTCAGGCGACAGCATGGGCTGGGCCGGCGCGAGCGTCCGAGGGCCGCCAGCGACGACGAGGAGGAGGCCGCGGACGTCGAGTCCAGCGTTCGACGCTGCTGGGCGAGGTTGAGGCGGAGCCGCCGTCGCGCGCGGCCGGCGAGGCTGGGCGAGACGCGGCGGCTGCAGGGAGTCGAGCCCGGGGCCGTGACCGCGGCCGCGATGGCCGTGGCCGGGGGCCCGATACCCTGGCAGGGGCCCCATGACCAGCGACCCGGGCGGGGGGGTCGCGCGCCCTCTCCGCCGCGATGCATGGGGCGTGGAGGCGTTTGGCCTCCAGAAGGCTCGCGGGGCATCTTTCCGCTCCCGCGCGGGCGCCTCAGCCGGCTGGTGACTGGAGGCCGGGGCCGCTGACTCGAGGCGCAGCGCGATGACGTTCTCGCAGTCTTGAATGGGCTCGCTGGTTACGATTTCGCAACTGGGGCCGCCGTCGCGAAGGGGGTGACAGGGCGCAGGGCTGTGGCCGCCCGCGCTGAGGGGCCCCTGGAGAGGACGCAGCCGGCGCTGGATGACGAACCCGCCCCATCGTCTCAAGAGGTCTTCCGCGACTTTCTACAGGGGCGAGCCGCGTGCGAGCGCGAGCCCGTCAGCAGGGCGCTTGCGCCTTGCCGTCGCGACGAGGCGTCGCTACCCGAGTCGGTTACCGAGTGTGGCCTCTTCGCGGAGCCGCGCGATGCTTGCTGGAATGCAGGGGGGGATGACCGACGAATGCTTCGATTGGCGGAAGAGCATGACGGCCCTGTGGCCCCATGCGCGGGCCCTGGCTCGGGCCGCAGTTGGCGGCGGCGCGCCGACTTCATTGCCATCTTGCGGCAGCGTAGGCTTGTGGGGTTCGGCCGAAGCTGCATCGAGCGGACAGGGCTGTTCTAAGCGCGGGGGAAGGGGCGTTTGAAGATGCGCGTGATTCTGGGATGCAGAAGGCGCAAACAATGGTTTCTGAAGGCACCGCGCGCTGAGCTGCTCGCGGCCGAGGGGCTCGAGGGAGTCGAGGCCGAGGGTTCCGAGCGCAGCGAGGGGCCCGTGTCCATGGGTGTTGCCGACGTGAAGGGCGCGATCCACAGGTTGATTTAGCTATGCCAGAGTGGCCCCCGCGATATTTTTTGGCCTGCCCGATGCGCTGGCCGAGCGTCGGCGTGGTCGGCCAGGTGATCGACGGGGCCGTCGCCGTTGCGGGAGATGTGATCGCGCCTTTGGCGCGGGCGCTGTCCGCGGGGCTCGCCCGGGGTCTCTTCTGCCGGCGGATGGGCGAGAGCCCTTGCCAGCGGGTGCCCGCGCCCCGCTCCTCGGAGCCGCCGCGGGGCCGCGGTCGGCCCGCCGTTCTCGTCCCGAGCAACGGTCCGCACGAGCTCGGGCACTGCGCGCGCGTGGGCAACCTGGGGGCGACGGGCGATAGTCGCTCGGAGGTGGGGCGCGCGCTCGCTGATGCGGTGAAGGCATTCAAGAGCTCCGGCCTGCTGGTGCGCGGAGAAGAGGCGAGGGGCGACGCCGCGCCGGACCTCGGGGTTGTCTTCGACGGAGAGTTGCAGCGCATCTCGCTGACGAAGAAGCGGCGCTGGCGGCTGCGCTCCGCGCTCCGACGCCTCTTGAACCGCAGGGGGGCTAGCGGGGCGATGGTGGGGGCCATCTTGGGGCGCTGCGCCTTCTGCGGCCTGGCGCGGCGACCCGTCTCATCGTGCTTCCATTCGGTGTGCAAGTTTTTCTCCTTGAATCACTCGGTTCAGCGGCCGCTGTGGCCGTCCGTGAGGGACCATCTGCGGGCTGTTCTAGGGCTGGTGCCCTTCTTGTGCTTGGATTGGTGGCCGGGATGGAATCGACTGGTGATCGCCAGCGACGCCTCGGAGTGGGGGTACGGGGTCTCCGCCAGCCTCTGGAGCGATGAAGAGGTGAAGGCTGATGGCAGCGCTCGTGAGAGGGACCGCTCCCGTGACGTCCGAGCGGCGCAGGCGCGGGGGCGCGCGCTGACGACTGCCGGAGTTCGGGGGCTCGCGGGGCTGCCGCCGCCTGCCGAGGCGGAGCTTCCAGGGGGGGGCTTCGACGGGTTGGGGGCCGCGATGGCCTCTGGCGAGTGCGCGGTCAACCCGGGCCTCCCCGGGGTGGCCTCGGCTGGGCTGCGCTGGGTGCCGAGGTTCTGGGGCGCCCGGAAGCGGGGGCAGCCCGTCCCGGCGCTGGAGGCGCGGTCGCTGGTGATGTCGCTTCGACGTGTGGCGGTGAGCTCATTCGGAAAAGATGTCCGCAAGTCCCAGTTCTGATCGATTCAGAAGCAGGGGTATCAAGTTTCTGAATCAGATTTGTGCGTTCGCTGCCTATTGTCTCGCTCGCAACATAAAGACCACTTCCGCTGGGCATCCAGCGAGCTTAATGGCTCGGGCGAGCCAAGTCGAATGTGTGTTGGTTTCCAATGTGTGTTGGTTTCCCAGCGCATGGTGTCTTCTCGCCCGTCACCTGGGCGTCGATTCCAGTAGGGATAAGGGCCTTTTCGGGAGGGGCGGGGGGGGGGGGCAGCCGATCCCGACAGAGGGGGTTTCAAGTGCACGGCAACAGTGGTGAGATTATCGACGGCAAGGAATGCGAACATAACCATCAATGGCGTTCTCAACGTTTCGTAGGTTCTTCGGCTCAGCGCCTTGCTGACTACAGCCTGGCGCACGAGGCGGGCAGCCCCGCGACGGCTGGAGATCCAGCCGCGGCCGCGGGAAGGTCAACGGCCGAGGTCGGCGCTGGAGACTCGGGGCGAGGCGCCGAGCTGAAGGGCGGCTCGGGCTGCGGCTCGACGGCCGGCTAGACGCCGCCGGCCAATCTCGATGGCGAGCTGGCTGTCCCACATCGGCGACGTGGCCGTAGAGCTCGGCGGGCAGCCGACCCAGCCCGCCGCGATCGCGAGTGGGCGGTGCGTGCTCGCGGCCGAGGCCGCGTTGCAGGCCAGGCTGCGGGCGTTGCAGAGTTTGACAGAGTTACTTCGTCGGGGTGCCCTCTCGAGCTGTGCCGAGAGTCGGGCGACGACGGGCAGCGGGCGAAGTCCGCGCTGGGCCAAGCGGCCGGATTGGCCGCGGCCGGCGCGAGCGGTTTTGCTGACGATCGGCGCGAGCGGCGGTTCCAGAGGGCACGACCGCGCCGCGGGGCGCGGCGCGGCGCGGCTAACGCCGAGACGACGGGCCGCGCGGCTGGCCGCTCGGTCGACGGCGCGCGCAGCGACAAGGCCGCCGAGATCGCGGCCGTGGCTGAGCCTGCCACGGTCACGGGCGTTGCCCGTCCCGACCCGCTGAAGGGCACCAAGGGTGCGCTCTTGGCGCGTGCTGCGTGCTGCAGGCCGAGCGAGGCCGACGGCCTCCGGGCGGCCGCTGACGGCGGGCCGCTGCACTTGGTGCGTGGCCCGCGGGCTGGCCGATCAGACGGCGGCGGGGTCGCGCTGTAACTGGCCGAGCCCCTCGCTGGCAGCGCGGTCGCGACCCTGGGCAGCGCGGGCAGCGCGCAGGCAGTCGCGGCGCAGAACCCAGAGACGGGCGGCGCGCCAGCCGCTGCAGCGCCCCCGCGGCCCATCGCCATGCGGCCGACTGGCCGCTTGCGCGAGGCAGTTCGAGGGCATCTCGGCGCCGGGGCGGAGCGGGCTTCAGCCCGGGGGCCGCGGGGGCATTTGAATTTGGAGGGGCGCTACTTCGCGGGAAAGGGGGGCTGCGGACGGTCGGCCGAGTTTGCTGGGTTCCCAGCTCAATACTTCGACCTCGTGAGCGGTGCCAAGAGCGACGTCTTGCGGCCAAAGGTGATGAACGGGCTGATCGTCGACATGCAGGCAGGGTAAGTGCTGGGTATGATGATAGGGGCCGCCCTGTGCGGCGTTCAGTATTGTCAATCACCGTTCAAGTACGTTGAGGACGCAGAAATTCCCGATGGGTGTTCCTGAATTGCGCAGGCAGGATGGGCTACTGTGGAGCAAGGGAATCAGCTGATGCGCGCCGCGGTGCGGCTTGCGCGTGAGTGTCACGCGTATGGAGTGCCGTGGATCATCGAAAACCCTCAATCGTCTGGTCTTTTCAAAATGGCCGCCATGATGGCGTTAGGCGAGATGGAGGGAGTTTTCCAGGCTGTTTCAGATTTGTGTCAGTTCGGCACTCGATGGAGGAAAACCGCGCGGTTTCTTTGCGGCCGGGAGGACGAATCCGACCTCTCGCGCCTCTGTCGCCGGTGCCAAGGTGGGGAAGTGTGCTCTCGCACGGGGACCGCCCACTTCGCCCTCGAGGGACACGCCCCCGACGGGGCCAATTGGACCTGCATCGCACAGGCCTGCCTGGACTCTTTGTGCCGAGCGCTCGTGCAGATTTTATTTGCTTTTATCAGGGCCACGCGGCCCCAGAACATTTTTTACTATCCAAGAGAACATCCGTTTTCGGGATGACTTCGGCATTTGCTTATCAAGCCGAATGAGTTCTCTTTTATGTATGTCGCCCGTCGCTTTCGCATCGCGCTGCCGCAACGACCTTCTTAGACATAACGCCGCTACTGTAAAGCGTGCTCTATCATGGGAGTGCGGGCGCAGTAGTGATTTAACAGTGGCGCAGTTGTGTCGATCCCCTTTTTATTTTTGTCGCAGGTAAGGGTCAATCTGTTCCCCCCCCCTCACACACATCCAGGTGTCGGTACTCCTTCTTGGGATTTGCTTTTCAAGCCGAAATCATTATCTTGTATGCCCATCGCCCTTCGTTGCCGCAGCGTTCTTGTTATACAGATCACCGCTATTGCAACACGTGCTCTATCATGATGATGATGATGATGATGACGATGCCGATGATGCCGATGATGTTTTTCAGGAGGAGGAGGGAGAGAAGGAATATCAGTAACATATGGAGGAACAAAGGCAGGAGGATGATAGGAACTTCCTGGCGCTCGGTCGTGTAAAATTGGCATGAGGGTCAAGAGCAACCCTAGCTTTTGAGGGGTACCTTTATCTTTTTCGTGCGTTGGTGCTCCACCTTGGGGTATTCATTTGGTGGGTACCCGCATGAGGTCTCACGCCTTCGGCCCAAGGGGCTCATGTTCTTGACCCGCGCTGTTCTGGGCATGGTCCGACTGTATCGCCGCTTCGTGTTGCGCCCCCCACGCCCGTGGCGGTCAAGGTCCAGGGGAGGGGGTAGGGTAGGGAGAGGGGTAAGCCCCTTCCCGAAGGAGAAGAGGGAGGGGTTGGAAGAGAAGCCGCTCGAGACCACCTACGCCCAGAGGGCTGGTGGGATCTCCTCTTCGTGTTGCGCCCCCCACCGCCCTGGGCGGTCGCCCCCGTGCTGCCTACCTGACCGCTTTGTGACTGGCCTTGCCGTGTAGAGTGGCCCCACGTCCGCGCCGGGTGATCGACCTCGTGGGCCGCCGTCGCCAACGTCAGGGGGAGGGGAGGGAGAGAGGCGGAGGGTCAAGTTAGGTGCGCTCGCGCCATGTTTGCAATCCTGTCCGTCCCTCCCATCCCTCCCTGACGCGGGTCATAGCCGACCTGGATCTCCTCAGAAGACCGCATCGTATTATACACAATCGGAAGAGGACAGTTGCGTACAGAGGAGGATGAAGGGGGAGGAGGAGGAGGAGGAGGAGGTGGAGGAAAAGAAAAAAGATGAGGAGGAGGGGGAGGAGGAGGCGGGTGAGCAGGAAGATGAGCATGAGGAAGAGGAGGATGAGGAAAGAGGAGGACGAGGACGACCAGCCGCAGCAGGAACTGGAGTGGGAGGAGTGGGAGGAGCATGAGGGCAAGGGAAGGCGGAGGAGAGGAAATGAGGGGGCGACAATATTGAAAAAAGATTCCGATCCAGAAAAGTGACTCGTGTTAGGGCGAGAGCGCCATTTTGAACGACGGAAGCACAGCGCCGTTCCGAAAATGAGACCCACGCCGCAGCGGGAGAACAATAGTGAAACGCCGAAAATACACGTAGCGGAAACACATAAGAAACAATCTTTGAAATCTGGGGTGAAAAACAGGACGCGGAGAGGGCCGAAGATCATTTGGACACAGTCAGGGCGGAAAGGATAATATAACGTTTTCGTAATGTGTAATTGTAAAGAAGGCCGTAACGGTACCTTTTTCGAATGAGGGTCGACAGGGGGATGATGGACACATTGGCGTCTGGGAAAGAGAAACTTCAGTACTGACCGGGAGAGCAGAGAGAGGCGGCCGCCCGAAGCCAAGGTTTTTGAGTCTTGGGAGAGAAACAAGGAAGAGGGCCCCCCCCCGCCAACCCCGGAGGTGGCCATGGACATCTCGGGCATCATCGTGGTGTGTTCATTCGGAGGGGCCAGGGGCCCACAGCGAACAGGCAGAGCAGCAGCCCGAAGCCCCTCGCTGCACATTTATCGGCCGCCCTGCCCTGCCGTCCAGGAGGTAGTCGTCGTTGTCGTCGTCGCTGTCGCCGGCGTCATCGGCGCTGCTGCCACCGTCGCCGCCGCCCTCGGTGCACCGCAGGCCGCCGTAGCGGGGTCGGGGGTGGGATCGGGCGCTGGAGAACAGGGCAGCTGGGCGCCCGCCCATGCCCAGTCCTGGCTCCCCTGGCGCCTCGGCCGCCTCGGCCCCGAGGATCTCCGCTGTCTCTTCCCCCCCCACCTCCACCGCGCCAGCCCCCGAGCGTGGCGGTGAGGGCGTCGGCCGCAAGGGAGCGGCGTGGCAGCGGAGGGCCCACAGGCCGCAGGAGTTCCGCAGAGCAATAGAGGAGAGAGAGCTACCAGAAGCCGCGGTTGGCCAGGAGTGGGAGGCCGCGGGAGGTCTCCCGAGGCCGCGAGAGGTGCCGCGGGTGGCCGAGAGAAGGGGGGGGCAACCGTGGCATCGAAGAACAAACACATGATTTTACTTTCTCTAGAGCAGGGAAGTCCGCGGTTCGGTCGGTTCGCCTGCTTCGTGGTCGGCTTCATTCGGTGGGTTCTGTTCGGTCGGGTGTTTCTCCGCTGCGTCCCTTCACGCTGCTTTTGGCTCGTCTGTTTCTCTGTTTTGGTTTAGTAGTAGTAGTGGTAGTAGTAGTAGTAGTAGTAGTAGTAGTAGTAGTAGTAGTAGTAGTAGTAGTAGTAGTAGTAGTAGTAGTAGTAGTAGTAGTAGTAGTAGTAGTAGTAGTAGTAGTAGTAGTAGTAGTAGTAGTAGTAGTAGTAGTAGTAGTAGTAGTAGTAGTAGTAGTAGTCGTAGTAGTAGTAGTAGTAGTAGTAGTAGTAGTAGTAGTAGTAGTAGTAGTAGTAGTCGTAGTCGTAGTCGTAGTCGTAGTCGTAGTCGTAGTCGTAGTAGTAGTAGTAGTAGTAGTAGTAGTAGTAGTAGTAGTAGTAGTAGTAGTAGTACTACTAGTAGTAGTACTAGTAGTAGCAGTAGCAGTAGTAGCAGTAGTAGCAGTAGTAGTAGTAGTAGTAGTAGTAGCGCCAGAACCGCAGGATGCTGTGCTGCGCTCTGCTATGCTAGGCTATTCTATGCTATGCTATGCTATGCTATGCTATGCTGCGCAATGCTATGCTGGGCTAGGCTAGGCTCTGCTATGCTATGCTATGCTATGCTATGCTGCGCTGTGATATGCGGTGCTGTGCTGTGCTGCGCTATGCTATGCTATGCTAGGCGATGCTTCGCTAGGCTATGCTATGCTGGGCTATGGTATGATATGCTGTGCTGCACTGTGCTATGCTACGAAATGCTATGATATGCTGTTCTCTGCTATGCTATGCTATGCTAAAGCTCAGCGAAGCTAAGATGAAGGTAAGCTAAGCTAAGATAAACCTGAGCTAAGATGAAGCTAAGCTAAACTAAGATGAAATAAGCTAAGCTAAGATGAGATAAGCAACGCTAAGCTAAGGGGACGTAACTGGGGGAACCGCGGGGCGGATACTGGGGGAACCGCCCGGGGCGAGCCCCACTGCCCGGCCCCTTTAAGCAAAAAGAGTAAGAACCCTTCTAGGCAGAGCCTAGGTAGGGAATTAATTGCACAGCATGTATTGAGCCACGACGATCGCACCACGTCGGCCTCCCTTTCTGCAAGGCAATTCGGGTATCCCCCCTGGTCTTATCCGTTCCCCCTGGGATACTACAACTTACATGTGATCCTACCACCATCGTCCAGTTTATATGTGAACTCATACCATCCCGACCAGACCGGCATCGCCCCCTCATCCTCGGCAAGAATAATAACGGGCGCGTTCGCTTAATATAAATCATCAACAGCCAAGAATTCCCCTGGCGAGAAAACGAGCGTCGTACATGCGCGTTCGGCACCGCGCGCGCATGTCAAAATCTTTCAAGTTTCAGATGCCGTAAGGATTTCAAGGTAGAGTTTCCCGAAAACGTGCAAACGCCATTGAGTTTCGCAATCTGGTCTTTCAAACAATGGTTGCGCTGTTTTTCTTAATTTTTCATGACATGCGACCCAACGGGCCTGTCGCGCACGAGTGTCGAAAGCATTCTATCGTTTTTGAGTGTTTGCTGGGGGGCATTGTCCTTGTCAAGTATTAGTATGCGGGCCAGTCGCCCGCATCGGCCGCGAGAGCATGTCGAAATCCATCCAAAACCTTTATCGCCGACCCGTGGACACCATCATCGTCATCGGCATGGCCGGCATCGGCGTTATCATTGGCCTCTCCGTCATCATCGTCATCGTCGTCACCATCATCGCTACTACCATCATCGCTTCTGACGCTGTCGAAGTCACCATGATACCGCACCCGCCCGAGTTACCGACTCGCAGTGAAGTGCCCGCGCGCCAGCGCGGCCTGCGAGACGCGCTCGGACGTTTCCAGCGGATAGCGCCACCGCTTCCGCCTTGGTCGCGCCAACCTAGCTGGTCGCTCTGCGCGCGAGTTTGCGCACTCTCTACAAGGTAATTCGGTTTTGGATTTATCGGCGCTCCCTGGGACAGTGCAGTTTACGTATGATTGCTGCCCATCGTGCGTCCCAGCTAGACTTATTATCACCCCCACCATCCTGGTCAAATGATACTATGCGCGCACACCCGCTTATCAATAACCATCAGTATTCAGTATTCCCTTTGCAATGAGTGGGACAACGTCGACACGCTCGCGATGTCGTACGCGCGTGTGCCAACTTTGTTCAAGGTTGAGGTTCCTGAAGACAGATATGTCGTATCCCCGAGCAGTTTTTTTGGAAAGGACGATGGTTTCTCATCGCGTTCGCAAGTCCACCCCGTGAGGGAGAAGATAACGTTTCTTACCTATAGACAGGTTGTACCAGGTTGCGTGCTAGGGGAGACCCGCGGGCCCACGTCTCGGGATGTCCGCAGGCCCACGTCTCGAAACCCAAATCGTGACGTCTGATGTCTGGGAAAGGCAGAAGGCGGGGCGCGCGGCTGTTGAGGTGGCAGAGATGACGGAGACAGCGACGGGAAGGGGCGAGAGGAAGGAGGAGGATGGGGCAGGTGGGAGGCAGGGGGAGGGAGGCGGGAGGAGGGATGAGCCAATGGGCGGGACCACTTCGCTCGCAGCATCTCGGAGCTCAGAGTTGTGAGGATGTCTCCGGCGAAACGGGCCAGACCACATCGCGCTCGGAACCTAGAGTTTCGAGGATTTGTCAGGCTGCGCCCAGGCTCCTCCCAGAGGACATCTCGACAACAGAAGTGTAATCAAATATTTGATTTGGGTCCGACCCCTCCTCTCTACTCGCTCCTCGCTCCTCCTTGTCGGAGCTCAGAGTTGCGAGAAACGGACCGAACCACCTCGCGAGCGGCATCTCAGAGCTCAGAATTGCGAGGAAGTCTCGAGGAAAACGTGCCAGACCCCCTCTAACGCGGAATCTGGGAGCCAAAGTTGCGAAGATGTCTCAGGCAAAAGTGGCCAGACCACCTCTCGCGCGGCATCTCGGAGCTCAGGGTTGCGAGAATGTCTCAAGCGAAACGGGCCAGATCACCTCTTGTGGGGCATCTTGGAGACTAGCGTTGCGCGGATGTCTCTGGCGAAACGGGTCGGACCACCTCGTGCGTGGCATCCCTGGGCCAGAGTTGCGAGGATGGCTCAAGCGACACTGGCCAGACCACCTCGCGCGCAGCAGCTCGGAACTCAGAGTTGCGGGGATATCTCAGGCGAAATTGGCCAGACCACCTCTCGCGCAGCAGCTCCGAGCCCAGGTCTCAGGCGAAACCCGCTGGACCACATCGCGCGCAGCATCTCACAGCTCAGAGTCGACAGGACGTCTGATGCGGATTGGGCTGGACCACCTTGCGCACGGCATCTTGGAGCTTAGAGTTGCGGGCATCTCGGAGTTCAGGGTTGCGAGAATGTCTCAAGCGAAACGGGCCAGATCACCTCTTGTGGGGCATCTTGGAGACTAGCGTTGAGCGGATGTCTCTGGCGAAACGGGTCGGACCACCTCGTGCGTGGCATCCTTGGGCCAGAGTTGCGAGGATGGCTCAAGCGACACTGGCCAGACCACCTCGCGCGCAGCAGCTCGGAACTCAGAGTTGCGGGGATATCTCAGGCGAAATTGGCCAGACCACCTCTCGCGCAGCAGCTCCGAGCCCAGGTCTCAGGCGAAACCCGCTGGACCACATCGCGCGCAGCATCTCACAGCTCAGAGTCGACAGGACGTCTGATGCGGATTGGGCTGGACCACCTTGCGCACGGCATCTTGGAGCTTAGAGTTGCGAGGATGTCTCAATCGCAACGGACAGGACCACCTCTCGCGTGGCATCTCGCAGCTCTGAATCGGCAGGAAGCCTCATGCGAAACAGGCCGGGCCACCTTGAGCGCGGCAGCTCGGAGCTCAGAGTTGCACGGATGCTCAGGCGAAACGCGCCAGACCATCTCGCGCGCGGCATCTCGGAGCCTAGAATAGCGAGGATGTCTCAGGCGAAACTCTCAATCTCAGCCAACTTAATCGAGAGTGTGCTTTGGATGTCTCAAGCGAAACGGCTTGGACCACTACATGTTCTTGAGGATGTCTCTGCGCGTCCGTCCCTCGATTGGAACTAGTTTCGACCACCAGCACCCCCTTCTGCACGCTGCTCTGGGATGAGTCATTTCCGAATTGGGAAATCAGTCCTTGGGACCCTGGTGTGAGATCGAAAGTTCTGCGGGGCCGAACCTCGAAACAAGAATCGCGACATCGGATGTCTGGGGAGGGCCAAGATGGCGGAGATGGCGACGTGCAGGCGGAGGCAGAGGCGCAGCAGGCGGGAGGCGAGAGGAGAGAGGAGGAGGAGGCAGGCGGGATGCAGGGGGAGGGAGGCGGGAGGAGAGATGAGCCGATTGGCTGGACCACTTCGCGTGCGGCGTCTCGGAGCTCAGAATTGCGAGGAGCTTTCAGGCGAAACGGGCCAGACCACATCGCGCTCGGAGCTGAGAGTTGCAAGGATGTTTTAGGCGGCGCCCAGGCTCCTCCCAGCGCACATCTCGACAACAGAAGTGTAATCAAATGGTTTGTCTGGATCCGACACTTCTCTGCTCCCTCCTTTCTCCTCCATGTTGGACCCTGTTGGGCTTAGGGTTGCGAGGATGTCTCAAGCGAAACTGACCGAGCCACCTCGCGCGCGGAATCTCGGAGCTCAGAAATGCAATAATGTCTGATGCGAAACGGTCCAGACCACTCGTGCAGCAGCCCCGAGCCTAGAGTTGCGAGAATGTCAGGCGATACGGGGTGGACCACCTCGCGCGCGGCATCTCAGAGCTCAGAGTTGCGAGGATGTCTCAATCGAAAAAGGCCAGATCATCTGGCGCAGCAGCTCGGAGCTCACAATTGCGAGGATGTCTCAAGCAAAACGGGCCGGATCACCTCGCGCGC